TCATATGAAACAATTTTGATCATATATATATATATATATAAATATATCAAATGGTAGAGTTTATCATACAATATATAATTTTCACTCAAATTATCACTACTTATATCTGTGATTGACAGAGGCGAAACTATTGAGGGACCAGGTGGCTCCGGCCCCCCTCAAGTGTTTGAGAATTAGAATAATACCCCTATATTATATGTATATTTATAAAACATGTAATGAGATTATATCATATTTTATAAAAAATTACTTATTGATTTTTTTTTTTTAATTTTATTAAGATTTTACAATTTACAATGAGATGATCTCCAACTACTTTATAATTTAGTTAATAATATCTTAATCAAAATATTGTTAAATCACAAATTATCATAACTCCACTAAAAAATTAAATAGTATTTACCTCAAAAATACGTACTATACCCCCGTACAAAAGGATTCCCACCAAGAACTTCAAGTTTAAACATTTAAGCATCACTTAAAAAAAATAAATAAATAAATAAATTATCACAAAACTAATCATATGAAACAATTTTGATCATATATATATATATATATCAAATGGTAGAGTTTATCATACAATATATAATTTTCACTCAAATTATCACTACTTATATCTGTGATTGACAGAGGCGAAACTATTGAGGGACCAGGTGGCTCCGGCCCCCCTCAAGTGTTTGAGAATTAGAATAATACCCCTATATTATATGTATATTTATAAAACATGTAATGAGATTATATCATATTTTATAAAAAATTACTTATTGATTTTTTTTTTTAATTTTATTAAGATTTTACAATTTACAATGAGATGATCTCCAACTACTTTATAATTCAGTTAATAATATCAATTTTATTGAGTTGATTATATTTGTACAAGATATACATGTGACTTTTTTTTGCTTTTTATTTTTAACATAAAAAAGGTATGAATATTTTTTTATTTAGAACAAATTACACTGATCTTCCATAAAGTTTGGAAAAAATATAATAAACTCTATAAATTTGACTTAATTATATTGGACTTCCCTAAGGTTTTAATTCACTTACTAGTTAACTTATTTTTCATGAATAATTCATTAATTCCATGAATAAAAAAATAATATTGTTATTTATTTTATACTGGAATGGATATTATACCTTGTTTTTCTATATCTTCACACCATCAACATTTGTTTTTGACCCTTTTAGCCTCAATAAAAAGGTGATTGGTGTAATAATGTCAAAATGTGAGGCTTTCTATATTACCTCCAAATCTCATGGGAGATCAATATAATTACTTTTCTATTTATTAGATTATGTCAACTAACAAAATGATTTAAAAGGTAGTCTAATCAATATGCAGTGAGTTCTAATTTATAGTTCAAACTTTTAGAAAAAGAATAAAAATATATTTATTTAATTTTCTTTTTTATGAAATATTATTTTCACAACACTCATATAACAAATTGTCTTTTAATTACCATTTTTTTTCCCTCATAACTTGGTCCCTTCTAACCAAAATTTTTCGTTTTGGCCTTGGTGAGTGGTTTTGTAATCAATTTTGTATTTGTAGATTTATCGAAAAGAGATTTTTTTTAAAAATGGATAACAAAAAAAAAAGAAAAAAGAAAAAAAAGCGTTTTGTAAGAATTTCTAAAAGGTAGTTTCTTCAGTCCGGAAATATTAAAAGAAAAAGATGTGCGATTTGTCTACTCTGTCACAAAAAAAGAAAAGAAAAAAAATAATGCACATTTGCTTGGAGATTGAGTGCGTCATGATAAAATACACATGTTAAAACAATTACATACCATTAAGATGTTTGTTACGATTTATTGTACTATGGTTTGATTATAACTAAAATAACTATTTTAAACTATTGTTATGTGTCATTTTGGGGTTAAAAAATTATCAAATTAAAACAATTACATACCATTAAGATGTTTGTTACGATTTATTGTACTATGGTTTGATTATAACTAAAATAACTATTTTAAACTATTGTTATGTGTCATTTTGGGGTTAAAAAATTATCAAATTAAAACAATTACATACCATTAAGATGTTTGTTACGATTTATTGTACTATGGTTTGATTATAACTAAAATAACTATTTTAAACTATTGTTATGTGTCATTTTGGGGTTAAAAAATTATCAAATTAAAACAATTACATACCATTAAGATGTTTGTTACGATTTATTGTACTATGGTTTGATTATAACTAAAATAACTATTTTAAACTATTGTTATGTGTCATTTTGGGGTTAAAAAATTATCAAATTAAAACAATTACATACCATTAAGATGTTTGTTACGATTTATTGTACTATGGTTTGATTATAACTAAAATAACTATTTTAAACTATTGTTATGTGTCATTTTGGGGTTAAAAAATTATCAAATTAAAACAATTACATACCATTAAGATGTTTGTTACGATTTATTGTACTATGGTTTGATTATAACTAAAATAACTATTTTAAACTATTGTTATGTGTCATTTTGGGGTTAAAAAATTATCAAATTAAAACAATTACATACCATTAAGATGTTTGTTACGATTTATTGTACTATGGTTTGATTATAACTAAAATAACTATTTTAAACTATTGTTATGTGTCATTTTGGGGTTAAAAAATTATCAAATTAAAACAATTACATACCATTAAGATGTTTGTTACGATTTATTGTACTATGGTTTGATTATAACTAAAATAACTATTTTAAACTATTGTTATGTGTCATTTTGGGGTTAAAAAATTATCAAATTAAAACAATTACATACCATTAAGATGTTTGTTACGATTTATTGTACTATGGTTTGATTATAACTAAAATAACTATTTTAAACTATTGTTATGTGTCATTTTGGGGTTAAAAAATTATCAAATTAAAACAATTACATACCATTAAGATGTTTGTTACGATTTATTGTACTATGGTTTGATTATAACTAAAATAACTATTTTAAACTATTGTTATGTGTCATTTTGGGGTTAAAAAATTATCAAATTAAAACAATTACATACCATTAAGATGTTTGTTACGATTTATTGTACTATGGTTTGATTATAACTAAAATAACTATTTTAAACTATTGTTATGTGTCATTTTGGGGTTAAAAAATTATCAAATTAAAACAATTACATACCATTAAGATGTTTGTTACGATTTATTGTACTATGGTTTGATTATAACTAAAATAACTATTTTAAACTATTGTTATGTGTCATTTTGGGGTTAAAAAATTATCAAATTAAAACAATTACATACCATTAAGATGTTTGTTACGATTTATTGTACTATGGTTTGATTATAACTAAAATAACTATTTTAAACTATTGTTATGTGTCATTTTGGGGTTAAAAAATTATCAAATTAAAACAATTACATACCATTAAGATGTTTGTTACGATTTATTGTACTATGGTTTGATTATAACTAAAATAACTATTTTAAACTATTGTTATGTGTCATTTTGGGGTTAAAAAATTATCAAATTAAAACAATTACATACCATTAAGATGTTTGTTACGATTTATTGTACTATGGTTTGATTATAACTAAAATAACTATTTTAAACTATTGTTATGTGTCATTTTGGGGTTAAAAAATTATCAAATTAAAACAATTACATACCATTAAGATGTTTGTTACGATTTATTGTACTATGGTTTGATTATAACTAAAATAACTATTTTAAACTATTGTTATGTGTCATTTTGGGGTTAAAAAATTATCAAATTAAAACAATTACATACCATTAAGATGTTTGTTACGATTTATTGTACTATGGTTTGATTATAACTAAAATAACTATTTTAAACTATTGTTATGTGTCATTTTGGGGTTAAAAAATTATCAAATTAAAACAATTACATACCATTAAGATGTTTGTTACGATTTATTGTACTATGGTTTGATTATAACTAAAATAACTATTTTAAACTATTGTTATGTGTCATTTTGGGGTTAAAAAATTATCAAATTAAAACAATTACATACCATTAAGATGTTTGTTACGATTTATTGTACTATGGTTTGATTATAACTAAAATAACTATTTTAAACTATTGTTATGTGTCATTTTGGGGTTAAAAAATTATCAAATTAAAACAATTACATACCATTAAGATGTTTGTTACGATTTATTGTACTATGGTTTGATTATAACTAAAATAACTATTTTAAACTATTGTTATGTGTCATTTTGGGGTTAAAAAATTATCAAATTAAAACAATTACATACCATTAAGATGTTTGTTACGATTTATTGTACTATGGTTTGATTATAACTAAAATAACTATTTTAAACTATTGTTATGTGTCATTTTGGGGTTAAAAAATTATCAAATTAAAACAATTACATACCATTAAGATGTTTGTTACGATTTATTGTACTATGGTTTGATTATAACTAAAATAACTATTTTAAACTATTGTTATGTGTCATTTTGGGGTTAAAAAATTATCAAATTAAAACAATTACATACCATTAAGATGTTTGTTACGATTTATTGTACTATGGTTTGATTATAACTAAAATAACTATTTTAAACTATTGTTATGTGTCATTTTGGGGTTAAAAAATTATCAAATTAAAACAATTACATACCATTAAGATGTTTGTTACGATTTATTGTACTATGGTTTGATTATAACTAAAATAACTATTTTAAACTATTGTTATGTGTCATTTTGGGGTTAAAAAATTATCAAATTAAAACAATTACATACCATTAAGATGTTTGTTACGATTTATTGTACTATGGTTTGATTATAACTAAAATAACTATTTTAAACAAAAAAAAAACGAAAATTCAGTACATTTTTTGTGTTTTTATGTATTTATTAATTTTTTAAAAATATGTTTTCATAAATTCTTTACTTTTTAGATACATCTAAGTAAGGTGTATCTAAAAAAGTAAACAAAAATATTTAAAATTTTAAAAATATTCACTAAAAATAAAAAAACACGAAAATCAAAAAATTTAATTTTCAAAAACTTAATTTAGAAAACTCAAATCAAATACATTTTTTTTTCAATTCCAGTTTTGATTTAAAGGGAGTGCAACTTACTTTGACTGCTGTAGTAAATTGGTTAATTACATCTGGAATTTGAGCTCGAACATCAAGTTTATCTTGAAAAGACATGGCAAGATCATTTTGACCGATATCAAGAGTGTAAAGAGCCTTGGAGAAATCCACAGGTTTGAAGAGTCCATTTGTGCCTATATTTGATGAAAAACGATCATAACTGAAACTATCTTATAATAAATACTTGTGAAACATACCTGCTGTTTGGTGTACAACATTTGGTACAGAAATTTGATCAGCGTAACATTATTTGGCAAATTACACTTATGATCTTTATATTTTATTCCTTATATTATTTTGATTCCTACACTTTTAATTGGCTCAATTTTGATTTATAATTTTAAATTTTGTGTCAATTTGGTCCAATTTATACTATCGTTAGTGTTTTTTACGAAAAATTATTATTGAATTGGTTGAAATTAACTCACTGGCTTTATAGATTTTCTATTAAAAATATAACACATGACACTTATGTGCGTATTTTTTTTTATAAAAAGATGCTAAGAGTTATAATCAATTGGACCAAATAAAGATAAAATCATAAATTCAGAATCAAAATCGAGTCAATTGAAATTAGAGAGATTAAAATAACATAAGGATCAAATTATAGAAACTACCATTGTAATTTGCCGAACAGTATTTTATTTACAAATATGGCCACTATAATCACCTTGATTGCTTGAGCTTCGTGCTTTGAGCTCACCAAATTGTTGGACTTGAATTTTAAGATGGACGAAATTACCACCAGGACGACCATGTTGGGGCCTAATGGATGCACCAGAACTTGCAAAGTTGGCGCCATACTGAAATTTTGTTTCAGTTGAATTTTGGTATGCACTCACATATGGCAGTTTCAAATAATCCGCTGTTTATAATTGACACAAAATAACAATACTAAGATATCCATTACTATTTTAAGCAATGTCTAATTCTGATAAATATCCATGCATGTGCTTGAATTATAGAAAGAAAAAGGTTGTATTTATATACCCATGTATTCTATGAGAAGACGTCCGGCTGCAGGATTTTTATGTAATGCAGCTGAGTTCGAGTCACCAAAGTTGTAAATTGCTGGAAAATTACATGGTGGCAAACTGGTAACATCCACTGCTCCAACATCAACATTGAAAAGTACCAATGGTACTAAGATTCCAATTAGCTCCAACATCTACAAAATAAATAAACAAAAAATGCTGTTACTTTTAGCACCTTTTCACCTATTTCTTCATTAGATATTAGCATCTATCACAAGATATGTATATATCTTAAGCTGGGGGGACTCCTTTACGATTTTCGTAGTTGAGGACAAATTCAGTTGTATTGGCCACCGTATGGGGATATGTTTTTTTTTTTTTTTTTTAAATGAAAATCACATTAAAAATTTATTGGAAAATCATTGAACCAAGACTTTGTTTTTGTGAAAGAAACAGGTTAAGAAGTTTGTCATCATACCTGGATTATGGAATTAATTGAATCTCCGAATGTAATTTTTTTTTTTTATAATTCGAGGTATCTCTCACCCACCTTAGTTCAATTGGACTCGAGTGACCTTATATTTCGAGCCTAGAACTAGTCCCCAAAGGCAATGAAGGTAACAGCAGGATTATCCTCCAATGGCCCCTTGGTAAACTGGAACTTGAAACTTTAGAACTTATTCTCCAAACCCTTGGAATTCTCAAAATGTATATTGGGGTTCTCCCAAAATATATATTGGTAGTGCAATGTATCTAAACCACTTGTTTCCGAACAAAGTGGATGTCCGAACATATATTCTTGCTGTCATTTGTTTAAAACCATTGAATTGCTTTAGATCTTCAGAGTTTTGAAATAGTCAGACCATAAATTACGTTGTTCATATAAAGACAGCTATGTTTGGTTGTATTTTTTAATTTTTTTAAAAAAATTATAAACTAATTTGATAGAAATAAATATAAAAATATATATTTTTAATTTTTTAAAATTATTTGTTTTAAAAAAAGAAAAAACCATATGTAAGTAATGAATTTTTAGTTTTTTATTTTTCTTGACTAAACCAATTTTGAAAGATTTTCATAAACAAATTCTGAAAACTCAACAAAGTATTGTTCAGTTTCCATGTGTTTCATTCGGCCAAATTCTATTAAGAGTAATGTTACATAAATTAATAAATCTTATAATAACTTTTATTTATTTATTTATTAATGTGACATTTAATACATTATCAAAGTGAGTCATGTTTCAAAATTTAAATTTTTTTCTTACATGAAAAATCAATTAGTAAATAAAAGTTTATGAATTTGTGTAGTTTTGATCATATTATTGCGTGCATTATTATTCATTTGTTGCTTTCGAATTTCATTTAAAAGTGACAATACTGGACTTAGATGTTTTAAATGATCACATATGTATCAAATTATTATCCCCTGCCCCAGTTTTACAAAGAAAAAATTAGTGAAACATCTTTCTCTAATTTTAGGTAGAAGGAGAGGTCCAATATATTTTATTAGCTAAGATCTCTCAATGAAATTTTTCTGTAAAAAATGAAATTTCTCTGTGTCGGGATGATATTTTTTTATGTCGAATTTTCTCTGTAAAGTGTTGAGGGACCCCAACTACTATAAAAATATTGTATATCTTTTATCTTATAAAATCTTAGTATCAAGAACCTTAAAAAAAAAATCTCCCTTTTGGAATCCTGCAAGCATAGGGTATGCCATTTTTTATTTTTTTTTAAACTCTTTTTTTGTTAAGATAATTGTATAAAGAGAAAGAAGAGAGAATCTATGTATATTAAATAATGTTGAATAATATTATTGCGCATTGAAGTATTACAAGAGGTAGCCTATATATAGGCAAAGTAAGAGTAGGTAACAAAAACCTATGAGAATAAAGAAACTTATAGAAACATGAAAACTTAACAAATATGGAAAATAGTATATTCTACATATTTCTTAATAATCCTCCTGAAACTCAAGTAGATAAACTAACTTGAGATTGGAAGAACAAAAATAAATGAAAGTATGTTGCTAAGGCAAATGAAAGAGCCTGCTAGGGGCGAAAGAGAAGAGTTTGATGCCAAGGCAAACGATAAATGGTTTGCTAGGGGCGATTAAGAAGAGTCTATTATTAAGGCAAACAATAAGAGCTTGTTACGGGCAATTAAGAAGAGTATGTTGCGAGGGAAAACGATAAAGGCTTGCTAGGGACAATTAGGAAAAACAATAAGGGCCTTTTATGGGTGATTTTGAACGGCGTGTTCACCATGAGAAGATGCTTAGATGCTTGGATAGTGTGCTAGGAGACGGTTTAAGTGGTGCACCAGGGGACGACTGGGGTGGTTTGCATGATGTATCACATTGCTTACCATGATATGGGTATTTCCCCCCTTAAACTCACATAAGTTAGAAGATAATAATCTATTTGAGGTTGAAACAGAGAGTGCAAAAGCACAAAATAATAGATTTTGAGTATATAAAAAAAATATGATAGATTCAGATTTAGATTGAAGTAGTGGAAGACTAAGATTTGACGTCTTGGCGGAGGTGGTGGTTGATTGGTTTCTAGAGAATGGAATTAACACGAGTATATGTCGAAACTCCTGCAGGTAACAAAGGCAAGGTTGCTGATGAACTAGAAAGAAAGATAGACTGGAAGATCTTATAACTCTGTTATCATGTTAAGATAATTGTTTAAAGAGAGAGAGAATAGAGAGAATCTTTGTATATTGAATAATATTGTTGTGTATTTAACTATTACAAGAGGTGACCTATATATAGGCAAAGTAAGAGTGGGTAATAAGAAACCTATGAGAATAAGAAAACTTATAGAAATATTAAACCTAACCATATTTAAAAGGAAAAATCGGTTTAAGGTCCCTATCCAACTTTTAGTAATGGATTAGGTCCACAATGTGTTCTTTTGTAGCCTAAGGTCCCTCAATGTTATTTTAGAGTGTAAAATACCTGTCTTACCCTTATTTATAATATACGTTTTTTTGATTTGGCAGCTAAAGATCATATTGATATTTTGTGGGAGATTACGTGAGGATGAACTTGACGATTCAGATTTTTGTGGAGATTTTCTAGGGTTTTTGTAGATGTTGAAATCCTGTTCGTTGTTTGTAGGTGTTGAAATCCTATACGAGTTGAAATCATATTCGTTATTTGTAGATGTTGATCGATCGTGTAGGAGTTGAAATCTAGTTCATTGTGTTTGATTTGATTTCATGTGGAGTTGAATTAGATAAGTTTTCAATTTTTGATTTGATTTGATCGTGTAGGTGTTGAATTAGGTTTTTGTTTTTAGTTTTGATCAATGTGAGAGAGACGAACTCAGTGTTGGCTCGGTCCAAGCGGGATGTGATTAGTCCAGTCTTAGACAACACAGTTGGAATATGTCAAACCGAGGTACGCACAGTGAAAGGAAGAACCGAGCTAGTGGGAGCTCGGTCTAGTCTGCGGCTTTAGCATGGCCATGTTAGCTCGGTCGTATTGACATCCAACCGTGGTAGAACCATCTCACTTGGTTTAAGCAGTGAGGGGGGTGTTGAAGGATAAGCATTATCTTTCAAGAAGGTGATTCCTAGGAGGACTCTACATGGAGGAGTAAGAGTCCTACTTGGATTGTGCCACACGGAACCTATAAAAGCTCATACCATCACCTATGGAGAGGTAACATAACTTTGATTCCTGAATACACAGAGCTTTTGTCTATTTGTCTATTTTGCTGACTTAGGCATCGGAGAGGTATCCGGCACACACCTGCCGGCTAGCTTATGTTTGTGTTTTCAGGAAGTAAAGCGACGACGTTTGAAGGAGCGGGGACTTGATCAACATGATTATACGAGAAGATTATTTCTTGCTCGTGCAATTGGCGCCGTCTGTGGGAATCACAGAAAGAACAAAACCTCTTGATCAAAGTGTTCCTCACTAGATTAGACGCAATGGCACACAATGAAGATTTGCCGTAGTCCGCCATTGACGGGCAAACCCCAGAGGGAGGTGGGAGGCGCGAAGGTTTGCCTTCCATCCCTCCCATGGCAGATCTGGAGCCCCAGTGACAGAATCCCCGGAGGGATGCAAGGGGAAGGCGGGGTAACAGACCCCGTCGCTCATCAAGTCCTGATAGACTGAGGCGGAGGATTGACCCTCAAGTTTTAGAGGAACAGGTAAAGGAGCAGAACGAGTTAATCAGGAAGATGGCGGCGGACATGGAATTGATGAAGCGCCAGATAAAAGGGAAAGGGGTTGCGGTAGGAGAGGGGCACAAAAGCAATACGCCTCCTCGCCACTCTAAAGATCGTGGTAGGCATACCACGCCATCACAAGCAAAGAGTAAGAGCCTCAGAACAGGCGATACTCAATCAAGGACTTCCAGAGCTCGTTACTCTAGGTCTGAGAGAACGAGATCATTGAGGTCTTACACTGAGGGAAGCACCTATCGGCCCTCACATACGCACCAAACATCATCTAGGCAAACGGAGTTGCCTAGATCGTCCGACTTACGAACTGTGCTTGAAGAAAAGGTACAACGAAAGGAGGATGCAAGGGCACGCGACCCGTACAGAGTTTCAGCCCTTCAGCGGTTGGCATCCTCGGACGCATGAAAGCGTCGAGGTTGGAATGCCAATACCGCACCTTGCCTACGAACTAACAAATAAAGCATTGGCAAGGCTACATAGCTCGCCGTTCGTTCCAGCAATTAAGAAAGCACCATTACCTTCAGGCTTCATCCAGCCTAAGTTTACGACGTACGATAGGAAGACAGACCCTTACATGCACCTAAGCCACTTTCGCTAGGTCATGGCAGTATACCGGCAGAACGAGGCTTTGATGTGCATCCTATTCCCATCCAGCCTTGGCAACCTAGGTTTAACCTGGTTCCAAAGGCTACCAGAAGGCAGCATAGCCTCCTGGGCACAGTTAGAGGAGGCATTCGTGACAAGGTTCAGAACGAACACTAAGACGCCAGTAGAGATCGATCAGCTACTCTCCATTGACATGGGTGACAAGGAGACGTTGAGATCCTACAACAGTCGCTATTGGGAAACCTTCAACCAGATAGGAGATTGCCCCACAAATCTCGCCATCGTGCAATACAAAAGAGGTCTTCCAGTCGGAAACAGACTGAGGGACTCAATTACCATGACGCCCTCCCTCACAATGGAAACCTTAATGGAGAGGGTACTCTAGTACTTTCGGGTGGAGGAGGATCGCGCCCGTGCTAAAACAAAAGTCCGGTGCAGCCGCAATACCAGATAAAAAGACTTCGGCAAAAGTCAACGCGGTAGAACGTCCAAACAAAAATAGGCGAGACAACGGAGAAGACCAAGATAAAAGATGGTTGAGAGTCGGCACTGCCATTACCACAGTATTCAAGAAACCAATCTACCGAATTCTCAATGAGATACGTGATGAACCTTTCATCAGATGGCCAGCTAAGCTGGGAGAAGCGCAAAAAGACTACGATGAAAGATCCCGGTGCACCTTCCATAAGGAAAAGGGGCACCGCACTGAAAATTGCATGTCGTTGAGACAGCATCTGGAGGAGTTAGTGGCAGTTGGTCACCTGGACCGGTACATAGAAGGAAGGACGCAGCCAGCCCCCCAAAACCACGATCACCCAGATGGTACGCCGATCAACGCCCCACCTCAAGGCGTGATAAACGTAATACATGGGGTATTCGAACCTGAACGAGTATGTGAGCTCA